CTCGTACGGTCAGGGGCCTGCAAGCAAGGCCCTACGAGGAAAGACTCAGGGCCCTGGATCTCTTCAGCCTTCCCAAGAGGAGGCTGAGAGGTGATCTTGTGGCTGCCTACAAATTAATTGTGGGGGGCAGCAGGGAATAGGAGATGCTCTGTTTACTAGGGCACCCCTGGAGTAACTAGGAACAAAGGCCACAAATTGATGGAGAGCAGATTTAGGTTGGATGTTAGAAAGACCTTCTTTACGGTGAGGGTTGCCAGAATCTGGAAGGGGCTCCAAGGGAGGTGGTGCTCTCCCCTACCCCGGGGGTCTTCAAGAGGAGACTGGACATGCACCTGGCTGGGTCGTCTGACCCCAGCGCTCTTTCCTGCCCAGGGCAGGGGGTCGGACTCGGTGACCTACTGAGGTCCCTTCCGACCCGAACATCTCTGAATCTACAGCACGCTTCCTATGTGCTGAACTGACTTGCGGTGGGAGGGAAATCCCTCTACAGAGGGACTTGGACCCTCGGGGGGGTCGTTCATGCCTGCGGCTTGGTTTGTTGCAGCGAGAGCAGACGATGTGCTTGCTTCTGAACGGTGGTCTGCTCCTGCACGTGGCATCGATGCCCACGCTTGTCTGCACAGATGCATCCGTGACGGGTCAGCACTGCTTGCGTGTAGCACCTTTGAGTGTGGGTTCATACAGAAACTGAGCCCCCTGAGAGCACATCGGGTGCCAAAGGTGGCTGATAAGCTTCCATTTCTGGTCTAATACCTTCAGTCCCCAAGCAGCTCTTTTCCTCCCCAGCTGCTGGTGCAGTAACTGCTTGGACCGGTGGGTGAGGTTGCTTGAAGCACAGGGTTAACCTGTTGGCTGTTTGGCCGCGTCCTGCCCTGCACATTGTTTCACCTTTTTCCTTCCGCTGCCGTAATCTGATGGTGGCTTCCTCCCTCCTGCAGGGCAGGGCCGGGGGTATCCTAGCTTGGCTTCCTTCCCCGCCGTGTCGCGCTGCTTTTGCTCCAGCCCAGCGGAATAAAAAAAATCATATCGTTCCTCAGCCCTTCCGGCTTCTGCTCTCCATAGCTTCCCTTCTCCCTGGACATGGGGGCTCGGAGGTCTGAGTGCCCGTCCCTCTCTTCCCCTGTGCTATAATGCTATTATGTCTGGATGGGCTCTTCAGTTGCCTCTCGGGCCTCCTGCAGTGGCTGATCGGAGATGCTCGTGTTCCCAGGAGAGAGACTACAGAGGACAGGGGCCGGTGCCTTGATTATCACCTGCTTCCACCTTGCTCTTCATGCAGCGCTTCACCATGGCATCCTTCCGGGTGAGGCTGGCGGTCTGTTGCTTCCTCTGTGATCGTGGTCAGGGCACGTTGTTTGGCTTCGGGTGGGCTGTGCCAGGGTGCAGCTGGGTGTGTGCATCTGCTTTGCTTGCCCTGTGGCCGGAGGCATGTTGCTTCTGGAGCTTGGCATTGTTGGAAAGGACACAGAGGGCCAAAAATGAAGGGTGGTTTTGCAATCCTTTAGCTGTGTTCTGGCAAACTAACATAACTGAGGTGCTGGCTGAGACCTTTGGACCGGTTTGATAGTCACCTGAGGATGCTCCTGCTGTCTGCAGGTCTCTTGTCTACTATTACCGGTGCAATGGGAGTTAAGTGACTAGAAAGGGATGCATTGCCGAGGCGTGATTCTGGGGCTGGTGGCGGGTGCATCGGAGGTGAGGAGGCCGAGGCCTGATTCTGGGGCTGGTGGCGGGGGCATCGGGGGGGAGGGGCTTAAACCTGAGGTCCGAGGAATGGTACGTCTATCCTGGGAACTGCACAGGTGGCTCAGTCCAAGCCTGTTGGAGTCGACGAGCGCCTTTCCGCTAGCTTTAGGCAGCTGTGGGTCAGGCCAGGACTGTGTGCCCTGTGTGTTCAAGTTACTGGTGAGCAGGAATTGAATGAGCTCGTGGACCCGATGCAAGAAAGGTGGAGGTAGCATGGCTGCCCAGTGGGGCATGGTACCACAGGCACGGCATGACTGGGCCTGTCCTCTGAGCACCCCCAAGCAGCAGGCTTCCTCTGCAGCGGGGTCTCCGAAGCCAGGCAGGGCCTGCTCCCCACTCCCCTCGAGGTGTGCATGCATTACCCAAACTGGTTCTCCCAGAAATTCAACTGGGAGCCATCGCTCCAGCAAATCCTGTGGCAGCCTCCCTAACGATCATGCTCAAGGCTTTTTGACTGCAGCGCTTGGCTTATGACTCGGTCTGTTCCCAGCTGTCCAAAGAGACGGCAGGAAACGTCCATCCAGGCAGAGCAGCAGCCTCAGGCATGTATTCCAGGTGGCAAATCCTTTCCGTCTTCTCTCCTGGTCTCATCTCTGGTGCGGTTTTGCACAATGGTGGGAACTAAAGTTCCTCTTTAATCCAGTTTGTGCAACATCTAGATCATTGTTGCAGGGTTGCAAGGGACCTCTAGCCCCGAGTATGGAGGCTTCCTTTGTGCTTCCCCATCTTGAAGGATCTGGGTGTAAAACAGCGCATGCTGTTTCTCTGAGCTTCTCCATGAGCCACAAGATCTCTTGCTCCGCTGGGAATTAAACTGAGGTCCTCTTCCTGCAAGTCCATTACCTTCCTGCATTAAATCCCTGAACTGAGAGACTCAAGCCATCATTGATGCAGCAAACGTATAAGGCTGCTTCTGCTCCAAGAACCAATCCCACCATCTCTCTGGTCCCAAAATGACCCTGCATTTCAGGGTTTCTGAAATGAGGCTCCAATGATCTCTGAAATGCATTTCCCAACCTGGGAGGGGGCACCGAGTTTGGGCTGAGAGGAAGAGCAGTCCCGGATCTGGTGCAGAGTGATCTCTGCTTGCTGCGGTCCCAGTACGAAGAGCCCAGGCACGTGGGATCACTTTTGTTCTCTTGCTGTCTCTGCAGTGGTTTTTGTTGAGCAAAGGGATGCCGGTCTCGTTTTCTGTTCCCATTGCTCGTGTAGATGGCACAGCACGTGCCTTGAGAGTGAATTGCGTGTCTGGGGTTAGCACGTGCTCTCGTGCCCCGCTGGGGAGCAGGGAGGGCATATGCAAGGATCTTACCTACGTTCTGCTCTGCCAACCAGTGTGTGGACAGTGCCGTGGACATGCAATCTCTGCCTTTGGCTTCATGGTTTTAGCTTGCCTTCCACATAGGCTGGCTACTCTGAACGAGGCCTCTGCCAGTAGGCAGAGCACAATCCTCCATTCCCAGTTTTAGCGCTGGCTAGCACCACCGTGAAGGGCATCCTCTTACTGTGGATGGCGTTTGTTGTTCTTGCCCAAAGTCGGTGTCCCCTCCTGGGTTGGGCAGAAATGCATTTTGGAGATTTGTTCCAGCCGTATGTCAGAAACCCTGAAATGCAGGGTCGTTTTGGGGCCGGAGAGACAGTGGGATTGGGTCCTGGAGTAGCAGCAGCCTTGCATGTTTGCTGTGAATGACTGCTCGAGTCTTGGTTCAGGGCTTTGTCCCGGAGCTGGGGCAGGAGAAAGGGGCCTTTCCACCTGGCCAGGTGAACAAGTTACTCTCTGGTGTCACCCTCTCCAACTTCTCCCTGCCCAGGTGAAAACCTGATGTTCGCTTATCTGAAGCTAGCATGTGCAGTAAGAAGCCCACATGAACATTTACTGGTCCGGGGTCAAATTCTCCCTCCTTGACTCAAGACGTTGCCACTTAGTGCATGTCCTTGGGGGTGTCTGACTCTCACTGGCAGTGTGGTTACAGGGCTGGATTGGGGGCACGTGCCATGCCGCTCGGTTGGGTTTCTGGCTTCTCCAAGAGAAGTAGAAAGAGTTGGAGAGAAGAAGCCCCAGACACTGGCGGGAACAGCCTGATGTTAGGCTGTTCCCGCCTAACATCAGGCGCGCGCGGCACCCCGTGGGGCGGGTTCCCGTGTCCCTGGGGGCGCGTCCTGGCCGGCTCTTCTGTGGGGAGCTGAGTTTAGCAGCTGGTCTGTGCAAAACTTCTCTCATGCCTGGAGTGGGTCTGTCTGGAAGTAAAGGCTTATTTCTGCTCTAGAAACTTTGCATTGGCCCGGTGGTGCTGGAAAGGCCCCGTGGAGAGGCAGCTTTGGCTGGAAGAAGAGCCCTGTTACCAGTCACCAGTTCCCAAGCACATCTGGGCTTGGTCTGCCCAGCTGCATCTGTTAAATCAGTGGTGATGCAGCTCTGCTGGCCATGCCCAGTACGGGGGTGACTTTTTGCATGCTCTGCCAGCATAGCTACCCGGGGCAGAAGTTGTTCAGTGGAGATGAGGTCTGCTAAGCTAAAGAGGACCAAAGCACTCGGCTCCTTGTGGGTGCCGCCTTGTCCTGGGATGTAGAAGGAGCAACTAACTCCATGTGCCACCAGGTCTGCAAGGCAGCACCATCTTGGCCAATTTGGAAATTGCCTGTCACTTTTAATTCCCAATTAATGGCCAAGACATCATGGAAAGAGAGGGCTTGGCCAACTGATGCATTCGCACAAGAGGCTTTCCAAGAACGAGCGATCCATCCGACCAATATTTCCAGTCACTCTCTTCCAGGGGGCAGGGATTAAAGCCACAGGGCAAAAAGCTTCACGTAGCAAAATGGAAACAGGATACGAACCCATCCTTTCTCCCTGCTTTGCTCTTCTATTTGATAAAGTCAGCAATAAGCCCTCTTATTGTTTCCCACACCCCGTGAGAAAAACAGCTGGAAGGATTTCATAACAGACTCGTCAGTCGGGTGATAAATTATCTACTGTCATTAATTCTAAAGCTAGCTGAAGACTTTTTTTTTTTTTTTTTAACTAGCAAAAGTGCTTTTGCTGAAATTGCCTATTTGGGGGGGGAAAGAAAAACCTGGTGCACTCTGGGAAAGCAGGTCTGTTTCTCTCCACGCGGCCAGCCCCCACGCCTTCCATTAAAAAAAAAAAAAAATTGAAAACGAAAAATATAGTTAAAAGTTCTATTGGTTTTCTTTTCACCTCCTCTTAATGGCTCTTCTCCCATGGTTTTTTTTTTTCCTTCCATTTTTTTCAGCCACAAAAGGAAGAACACAGGGAGAGCCTCATTTTCATAAATGGCCATTTTCTAGAGAAAGCACTTGAACAAATCGATGCCAGCAGTTACTTCCCCAAGCCTGATTTTTACCAGTCATTCTTCCAGTTTCCTCCAGCTCCAAACTCCCTCCCGCTTGGTCACGGCCCGCGTCGCCTGAGTGGCGTTGAACGAGGATGGTCCTTTGCTAACGGGATCGCTCTGCATTCATTCAGGCCCTGTCTTCAAGCACGCTGCACTGCTCTGTCCATGCAGCTCCGTGGGCCAGCTAATTAGCTCAGGGTAGGCTAATTGGCACTGCTAGTTAGCCAGGCTGAAGGGCCTGCGCTGCTTCTGGTTCAGGAGTCGGCCCGCCAAGAGCAGCACCATTGCTTGAGGATGCCCTGCATGGGCACGGTGACTTTCCCATGCTGTGAAATGGCCTCAGATCGTCAGCCTTGTAAAGCTACATTCCTCCTGTGCCGTGTGCGGGGTATGTAAGGACAGCCTGCGTGCCAGGAGGGGTTTCTAACCTGAACTTGAAAGTCAAGTCACCCATCTGGGGAGGGTCTCTACAAGGCCATTGCAGTCCTTGATGTCCTGTTTCACCCCTAATTCTAGCCCGGAGTGGCGACGGCTCACGGTGCTGTAGTGCTAGTCCTTTGTGATATGAAATGTTTAGGCAAACTTTGAAATATACCCAAAAAGCCGCCGTTGTCTCCTGGATTTATGACTGTGGAGTTAAAATGAGCTGTCAACGATCTCGCGTGGCCGTGCCCAGACCCCGGTCAGGAAGAGAGATGCTTTGTGCTCGTTGCGAAGGTCTGAGCCTTGCAAGAGGCTCTCGGATGCAGGGGTGCACCCTTGCTCAGACACGCTCCGGTGTCACTGGGGCTGGATGGACACGAGGGGTCTGCCTCTGTGCAGGGACCGCAGAGACAAGCCCATGCCTCGCCTCCATGCTGCCCATCCAGGGTGGCTTATCCGCCTGGGGCAGTCGGCATGAACGTTGCCTCCTTTCCTTGGCAGCCTCCAGAGCCACGCACGGAGGCTGTTCCTCGCAGGGCAGGCCAGGGACCTTGTGGTCCCACAGAAATCGCACCCGGTGGCTTTTGGTTTCCTTCCTGATGGCTGCAGGATCGTATGGCGTTGTTTTCCCTCTGCTGAGAGAGGTTGGTTTAACATTGTAGGAGGGAAATGGGTTGCACCCGCTGTCCGGGGGCTGCAACCGGAGGGGGTTGGCCGGCTTCTGGAAGGACAGCTTTGGGAGATGCCGCCCTGACTTCCTGCAGCTGACCCCAGCTCGGATCCTGGACTCGCATTCAAGACAGACGTCTGTCCTGCAGGGCAAAGTGGCCCTGGAGGATGGAGGCTGTGGGGTGTCTAGATAAGGTGTGGGACTCGTTCTTCCAGCCGGCGCTGGCTGTGTTGAGGGTGGAGGGGTGCTTTGATTTACGGGGTGCCTTGGTGTCACCAGCAGAGCAAGGGATGCTTCAGGGGAAGGAGACGCAGTCCTTTCTAATAGTCATCCAACACCTCCTCGGGCGGGTGCTGGGGAGGGTGCCCGTGATGGTCCGAAGCCAGGCTGGGCACCCTCCTGAGAGCCAAGCCCGGCGCCTCGGGGCCGCTCTGTGCTGGCGGTGAGGAGCAGATGGCCCAAAGCCCCTGCAGGCGTGTGGCCCAGAGCCATCTTCTTTATCCAGGGCTACTCTGGGCTGTCTCCTCCACAAGCTGAAGGGCCCAGATGCAGATGAAGAAGGCTGGAGGGCATGGCACTTTTTCTTGGCAGCCTCGTCTCAGTTAGGAGGCATTTGGAGAGATGCTGCTAGAGTGGGTGGCCTCGCTGTGCCGGCTGCAATGGGGAGCGTCCCGACCAGTCTAAACGTGCTGGGTTGGACTGGGGAAAGCAGTGGGAGAATGTAATTTGGTTGTGTTAGTATAACTGGCAAGGGAAGCCAACGTAGCTTAGCTTGTCCTGAAGCACAAGGGGAGACGGCACCAAAAAAGGGTGCTGGTTTTCAAAATCCTTTTTTATTTTTTTCCCCCTGCTAGTGTTAAAGCGTGCTGTAACTGTGAGGGTTCAGGAATGATGCAAAATGCAAGGGTTTCTTAGGGTGACCTGATGGAGTGCCTTGCCTTTGAAAGTTTGTCTGACTCTTTCCTAACTATAACAGGTCCAATAAAAGACATCACCCAAAGAAATCCTTTCTTTTTTTTCCTTGAATGCTTTGTTCCAGCAGCTAAATACACATGGGTTCTTGTGAGGAGGCAGCAGAGCACTCGAATGTGGGTTTAAGGGGTGTTTTGTGAAGCTGACAAATTCCCAGTGACCAGGGGCGCAGGGGGCTGGTCGTTTTGAGTCGTCCAAGGAAAGGCAATGGCAGGGGTTGAAATATTTGGTGCTAGCTTTGCATAGAGGGACTGTACACCCTGTATCCATTGGTGCTGCAGCCCCCCGTGATCTGGCTAGACCACGGCTAGAGCCAAAACCAAGACTGCCGTGATGTCCGTCGGCAAGCTCCAGTATGCCGATGATGCTGTAGCACGCGCTTCATGCACCGACATCAGCTCCTGGGACCAGACGGAGGAAGTCTGCTGCAGGGATCTTGGTACTTTGAAACCTCATGACATCAACCGGAGATGGAAAAGCAGGAGCGGCAGAAGCAGCGTGTCGCTGACCGAAGCAAGAGTCTGGAGCCACCCACCCCGCACGGAAACACGTGCCTGAGTTGCAACAGAGCCTGTTGATCCCGGATCGGCCTCATCAGCCATCTTTGGACCCATGGATAAAGCGGAAGCCAATCATCCTCGACTGCGAAGGATTGCCGCTGCCGAGGCATTTAACCCAGAGATTTCCATCGCTAGACACTGAAGGAAAGCCAATCCCCAAGAGTAAGTTATTTAAAGCATTGCTGTCGAATGCTGCACAGACTTGGGGGCATTGAATTATTTGCATGAGCAAATTCAGAGTAATCTGCATCCACGTCTGACCCTCTAATGCACGTCTACCCCCGCTGCTGTGGAGTGCGTACCTGCTGTCTGCAGTGCGTCATCCTCATGACCAGAGCTGGTGGGGACCCCCTGCTCCAGGTTTTTGGGAGAGCATATTGCAGGAGTTGGGACCTACAGAAATGTTCCAGTCTGGGATGTCCTGTCCTGATTCAGGATAAACGAGTGTCCTGAAAATGTGCCAGGTTCAGTGAAAGGAGGGTATGTTGTCCTGGCTGGCGCTGTGCTGGAGGAAAGGAGATCTCCTCTTTTACAGGTGGTAACTGAGATCCAGGGGATTGCAGGAGGGCCAGGGAGGAGGCCTGGGGCAGAGCTGGGATCCCCAAGTCAGAGTCCTCCTTCCTCCCCATCGCTGCCAGGACTGTCATGAGCAAGGAGGAAAGAGAGGGCAATGAAACAGCGATGCGTATCAGTTGTCCAGCCTGCTGTGTGCAGAGCGGAGGCTGCAGCCGGGTGCTGCGAAGCCTCTCTGCAGCCTCCCAAAGCAAAGTCCTTGAAAGGGGCTGCATTAAATGGGCTGTGCAAGCTGTCCTCTGACCCCCACCCCAGCTCTGCCCTACCAGTGGCTTCAACTCCAAGCTTTGGTTTTGCCTGATCCTCCCTGCTCTCTGTCTCAGTTCACATTGGGTTCAATGCCTCCATGTCCTGCAGCTGCTGCTCCACTTCCAGACCAGTCGCATGGCCCCTTTTGGTGCACAGGTTTCACCACCGCTCTTTTGCTCAGCCCTCTCCCCGCAGAGGCTCTCTGGGGCTCTGCCAGCTGCGTGGCCGTGCAGCACGTGGCTGTTGGCCGTCAGGGTCCCACTGTCCCCAGCTGCTTTCCCTTCGGGTGGGTGCGTGTGGTCTGAGCCCGGTATGGTGAGGAAGCATCCTCATCGTGACCTGACCTCCATAGAGAGGTAGTGAGCAGTGGAGAACGCCTTGCAGGGGATGCATTAACAAGCAGCAACCTGTGGGTTTTGCACGGGGGTCGCCAACACATGCAGGCTCCCAAGGCAAAGGTGCAGTGAAGACGAGCTGCTTTAGATGTCTTGCAAGGTGAGCTTATCAAGGTGCTGCCTCGTGGTGGGGGGCATAGGCTTGCATGCACCTTGCCTTCCAGGTGGTTCTCCCAGGGGGCTGGTTACCCTGAGATCATTATAGGAGCTTTTGTAGTCGTTTAATCCCAGCAAGATAGCGGGTTGGAGCCCTGTCGGTGTGTTATCTGATGCTGCTGCTGCTCCATCCTCCGTGGCTTGGTTCTGGGGAGGGGTTGGATGCATAGTGAGATTCCCCATTTCCTTTTAACCAGCAGCGCCAGCTCGTCTCCAGGCCCTGCCACGTAATCGGGGCTAATGAACTCCCCCCTCATCCCGTATCACAATCGCCGCATGCTCCATGGAAACAGCTGAGCTTTGTAACCCGTGTTACCACCTGGGCCGCCTTGACAATATCCGCCTGCAGAGCCTGGGGCTGAGGGCAGGCTTGGGAGGAGAGGGAGGGATGTGCACGGTGTGTGCATGCGTGGGGTGGGAGCAGCGTGTGTGTACACATGGGAGGTGTACTGTGCAATCGGTCGCAGCTTCCTGCTTATCCCATAGACCCTCATGAGTTCCCATATATTTGGAAAAGGCTAAAAACGAGCCCTTTGTGAATTGAAAAAAGAAAAAAACATGTGGAAAGGCCTCTTCCTTTTCTGGCTGAGGAAGGTAGTGCTTGCCCTAGTCATTGCTGGATCCCGGTTCAGGCCAGGTGGCTGCAAGCCCAGTAGCCAGGGTCGGGTGTTGAAGCATTTATGTCTGATTTGTACCCCAAACATCAGGGCTCTGGGCTTTCCGAGTCACCTATCGCGTTGGGCCTGAGCTCTGGAAGCTCAGGGGCTGACACCAGTGCCGGATGGGAGCTGAGCCCAGCCCTTTGTGAGCTGCCCGTTTGCACGTGCTCGCCTCTGCCGGCTCCGATCCTCCAGCCCGGCAGGGTCTGTCAGACGGAGAAAGCTGAGAGTCGTCCACGGAGCTACTGAACCCGGAGCTTCGCAGCCAGGACTTGACGGGTCAGTCGCACGGACAAGCGATGTTGTTGCAGGAACCGTCCCGCAGGTCTGTGACTCGCGTGCCCGGAGTGGCTGCAATGTGACCAAGCACAGCGTGGGTAGTGGGAAAAGCTGCTTATCCCAGGCCTCTCAACTTTGCTGGCTGCCACTTTTGGCCGGGAAGGACTCTTT